ATATATATATATATATATATATATTTATATATATATATATATATATATATATATATATATGTATATATATATATATATATATATATATATATATATATATATATATATATATACATAGATATATATGTATATATATATATATATATATATATATATATATATATATATATATATATATACATAGATATATATGTATATATATATATATATATATATATATATATATATATATATATATATATATATACATAGATATATATGTATATATATATATATATATATATATATATATATATATATATATATATATATATAAAGATTCTACAAAAGTCTGAAAATGTGCAATAATAGTCAGGACATAAAAGAAAAACTTTTTAAACAAAACAAACAAATGTTCACGAAAATAGCACAATTTTACAATTCTACCCATTTTGAAGATGGGTTCCCTTAATGTAAACCAATTGTTTGTCTTCTTTTTCTGTTTGTTTATATATCTATATCTATCTGTCTATATGAAAGATGGAATAATGCAATGCCGCATTGATATCGATAAATCAATGACCAGGACTCAAACCAAGTCACTCTGGGTATGCCAATCATGTCACACGACCCACTAACAGGAATGTGCAATTAGGATCTCACTTGCTCCATAGACATTACCTATCTACTCATACTAGAGTAATGATAGCGAAGTTTTACACACACTGCCCGTGGGGAATCGGTGGAAATTGATATAGCAATTCAAATCCTAAGTCAGATGTACTGAGGTATATTTATGAAAGATGGAATATTGCAATGCTGCATTGATATCGATAAATAACATAAAAGTCCTGACCAGGACTTAAACCCAAATCACTCTGAGTGTACACTTCGCTTCACCATTATTACTCTAGTATGAGTAGATAGGTGATGTCTATGAAGCTAGTGAGATCCTAGTGGTACACTCCTTTTAGTGGGTCGTGTGGCATGGTTGGTTTAGTACTGGCCCTCCGGTTTCATACCTGTAGTTACTTGGGTTCGAGTGTGTATATATATATATATATATATATATATATATATATATATATATATATATATATATATATATTATATATATATATATATATATATATATATATATATATATATATATATATATATATATATATATATATGTCACAATTCATAAGTTGCAACGTGACTTTGACTTGTGTGCTTCCTTCCGCCATGTGACCTCGCTTGCTACACTAGATCCTTTGCCATCTCCTTTGTAAATATTCTGTTTTGTCTGGGGTATATTTGTGCCTTCGCAGTAAAAACTTGTATACGTTTCCTCTGGTGTGTTTCCGTTGACCTGACCGCTCTGATTCTTAGAACGAACCTTGACATTGGCGACCTTGCCAGGATCAGACGATCTGGAAAACGGCACCATGAGGAACTGTGTGCAGGAAAGTGAAATGCTGGGCCTTGAGGACATGGCCTTCTTACACTACATTCAGGAGCAGGAGAGGATCAAACGCGATCAGCTGGCTCTGTATTACCGAAAAAGGGAGGAGCAGAGGCAGCTGCGGGAAGAGCATCGTCACAGGAACCGCGAGGAGGAGAGCAAAGCAAGCGCTGTGGAAGAAAGTGAGTCTCTTTTGGCCTTGCTCTGGCCCTCCTTATGGCAGGGAGCACATCGTCTGGGCGACTCAAGTGAAACTCCCGCGAGTAGAACGCTGGCCAGAGGAGCGACTGACCATGGAGTCGCATATGGACACGAACCGTCGCAGCAGGAAACCTGTCGGAAAAACAGACAAAACCGGAGGAGACTCCCGGGGAACGGCCATCGGAAGAACCAGTCACGGTCGAGGAAGCTTCAGCCGACGGCGAGAAACACGCCAGAGGAAGCGACTGCAGCGGCACGGAAGTCAGAGGAGCTGGCCGCCCTTGTATGTCCGCTTGTGCAACTGGTGGGTGCGGGATGTGCACCCGAATGACCAGTTGGCGTTGGATACCCGCCCAAGGATCTGGTGGGTATCGATGCGCCAGAGGAGCTGCCTGCCGAGGACACCCTGGAGAAGCTACCTGACTAGGACGCGCCGGAGGAGCTGCCTGCCGGGGACGCACCGGAGGAGTTGCCTGCCGAGGACACCCTGGAGAAGCTACCTGACTAGGACGCGCCGGAGGAGCTGCCTGCCGACGACGCGCTGGAGGAGCTGCCTGCCAAGGAAATGCTGGAGGAGCTGCCTGCCGAGGACGCGCCGGAGGAGCTGCCTGCCGAGGACGCGCTGGAGGAGCTGCCTGCCAAAGAAGTGCTGGAGGAGCTGCCTGCCGACGACGCGCCGGAGGGGCTGCCTGCCGAGGACGTGCCGGAGGAGCTGCTTGCCGAGGACGCGCTGGAGTAGCTGCCTGCCAAGGAAGTGCTGGAGGAGCTGCCTGCCCAGGACTCGCCGGAGGAACTACTGTGCAAAGACACCCTGGAGGAGCTGCGAGGACGCGCCATAGGAGCTGCCGTCCGAGGACGTGCCGTAGGAGCTGC